TCACTGAGAGGAAAGTAAACGCAAACTGCCAAAAGGGCGAAAGTAATAACAGGCTATTGTGCTAACTCCCTCCAGAGGAGCCTGCCAGCTATAAAAATAAGATGAAATTGATTTTGATGTCTCAGCGCTGATCCTAGTCATAAGAAACCCAAATAGTAAGGTCCCATCTTCATGAGGAGAAGGCCTACAGCATGTGTTTCAAATAAAACCTGGTTATCAGATACATGTGGCAGAGTTCTAACAACAACATAATAATAATAACAATAATAAAATCCCCAAAAGGGAGCAGATCCTATAGACGGTGCATAAAAGATGGACCTAGCCACAAGCAATGTTTTTTATTTTTTTTAAGTTAGAAATCATCCAAATATAATTCCCTCGAAGTCAGCAGGTGTAGATTTATAGCTGAAAACAGAAAGGGCGACATCGTGGTTGCTATGACCATCGTTTATTTACAGTTTATGCTGTAATCTTGGATATTAGCAGGAAAGTTTTGAACTCGGATATCAGAAAGTAGCTTATGATATCTGACAAGCAGGGTTTAGAGTTATTAAACTATAATTACATTTACAGTATATTACCTATTTGTATTTCATGCTATATTTGGTGTCTGTTTTACAACTGATCAGAAATCAGTATTGTAATGTGAGCAAAGACTGCGATTCAGAAATGATCACAACGAAAAAGCGTCGGCACATAAATGTAGAAACAACCGCATCTTTCCATTCATAACATTTCCGTTAAAGCGACTTATCAACTGAAAGCGAGCCTGGTTATGTAACGCAGAAATGTGTCTGCTGGAGCCAGCTAAGTGTGTTTACACGTGAAGCACAAGAGCACACAAGCGGCAGAGGGAGATCATTAATCACAGCCAAGCTGGCTCCGAGCTGACTTCCTCTCATCTTCAACAAGACGCCCATAAAAAAAATAAACACAGAAACAAAGAAAAAGGTTTTAACTATGCACAGTTCCTCTCATCAGCCTCGCACATGTAGTTTTGATTGGTGTTACTGCTGATTAATGTGAATATCTGTGACCGTTGCTCAATATGCAGAAATATTCATTAAACAAATGTCTGCAGATACGTTCTGTCCCTTTATGAAAC